GAGGGTTTTTAAAAACCCTCTTATACGTTTGGCATCATCATGAAACACAGGACAGAATCGTCAAGTCTCTTCCGAAGACTCTGCGAATTGAATGTACTTGCACGTTTCATAGCATCGCTGCTAGCTTGAAGCAGTTCATGCTGGTGGCCTCGCATCGGACTTGAGGCAGAATTCGGAGCCCATCCTGCTAGTAATGTAAGGGCCTTCATAAGCGGAATAGGGCTTTTTTTTTTTNNGGGTTTTGGGCTCCTTTAGACTATAAGTAGAATAAGGAACCCCAAAATAGTGTAGGTACCAGAAATTATTTGAGCCCCTATATTATAGCATGCCAGGGGTGAGGGTCTTGCCGAAAGTTGAGGACATAGTCAAGCTGACTTCTTCAGACCCGACGTGTTTCGCGGGAAGGGTTGCAGGGGTTGGGGATTGAAATTGGTGGATGTAGGGTCTGCGGTTTTCATGCAATGGGATGCCAGGTTCTATGGATTGGCCCCATTCCGGGATTGGAGGTGTAACTTAAGGGCCTGCATAGTTAGAATAGGGGTTTGGGGTCTACGAGGTGTAACAACTACTGGACGTTATTCCGACCCATAAACCCTAAACACTATATCACTTGCAGCTGAAGCACTGTCAAGATCAAAACGATGAGCAGTAGACATACAGCTGACGTAACCCAGTAACAAACCTCATGCAATCGAAGCATCACCGCATCTCCTCGGATGTTCGTGCTGCAGGCAAGCAGATAGCGACATCATTCGGCCAGAAGGTTCCCTAAACCCTAAACCCTAAACCCTAAAAAACCCTAAACCCAAAAAAGCCCTAAACCCTATAAACTCTAAGCCCTATAACCCTAAAAACGGGTTTAGGATTTTCTAAACCCTAAACCGTGGGAAGTCGGCGGCGTTGTAGATTTTCAAGCCGAAGACCAACCCTAAACCCATGAGCCGGAGAAAAAACGGTTTGGTTTAGGGTTTAGGCTTTAGGGTTTAGGGTTTAGGGTTTAGGGTTTGGTGTAGGGTTTCGGCTTCCTTTACGGGTTTCTTTAAGGGCTCCTTTAGCGCATCCATAAGGGATCTACAGAGGTTTAGGGTTTACGGTTTACAAAAAACCCTACAAAACTCCAAGGGGATGGCCCTAAAAGTAACGATCACAAGGTTTCTACAAGGGGCTCGACAAGGTGCTAGGGGGGCCTACCAGCGATCCTGAAAGGAGCCGAAGGGTTTAGGGTTTAGGCTTCAGGGGTTTTAGAGGTTTTAGGGTTCGGGTTTAGGGGCTAAAAGAGGTTTACAAACCTGAAGCCTCACTATCACAACTCCTAAAACTGTGGCCACAAGCCATTTATAGCTGATATCCAAGACTCTGGTCTCTTGATCCGGTGCTGGGAGATCCTGTCTGAAGCGCTTGCACCGCGCATAAACCTTCGATGATGATGTGGGTGGCCCAAACTAAACCTACGAATCCTGAACCCCAAATCCTAGCCCGCACCATACCTCCCTCCTTCCCTGACTCCCCCTCGCTCTGCCGATGGAAGTTGGGGTGGCATCCCAGTACGGAGCTTCGCCGATACTCAAAGTTGCTGTCAAAAAATCTCCCAAGCAGGCCATTCCGAAGCCCAATTCCACGAGTCAAGGGTCTTAGCTTTTCTACTGCTGTTTTCTGCTACCGTAAAGAAGGCCACTTCAACCCTTCCGGTAAGACCTAAACCCCAAAGCCATTCATTCTCTGACTGGGCCCAACTACGGGCTATTCCAAGACAAGCTACTGCAGTTCTGGGCCCAGGTAATGTAGAGGCTTTAATAACTAGAAGAAGGCTTTTAGGTAACACGAAATCTCGCTATAACTATATGACGGAATCGTAATCATGTTGCCAATTCGTTCAGGCCCCTAAAGTTCATCCTGGAATAGGAAGACGCGTTCTGTCCTTGCACTCCGCCTCCTACCCCTTGACACCTTCAAGAGCAGTACTCTAGGTCATTTTCAGGTGGGTAGTTACCGTTATAGGAGCCTTATAGAAGGTCTATATACCTTATAGAAGCCTTATAGAAGCCCTATATACCCTAAACTCCCCACCTGTAGTTTCCTCTAATTCAAGAGCAGTAGATCCCTGAATGCCGCAGAGAGTCCCACTGTACCAAAGCCTAAGTTAAAGGAAACTACAGGTGGGGAGATTAGGGTATACAGGGCTTCTATACGGCTTCTATAAGGTATATAGACCTTCAATAAGGATCCTATAACGGTAACTGCCCACCTGAAAATGTCCTAGAATAAGCTCTAAACCCCAAGAAAAGGTAGGTACGGCGCAGCCCCTCCGGGCAAGTTGCCAAGTGAACGATCAGACTCGAAAGCTCTGCGCAGCTGTAGACGAAGGCAATGACCTGACGAAGGGTTTGGGGTTTAGGGTTCCTGAAATCGGAACCCTAAAGCCCTAAACCCTAAACCCTGAACCCTCAACCTGAAATCGGAACCCCAAAACCCTAAAGCCCTAAACCCTGAACCCTCAACCCGAGCCTCAAAATCTCTGAGAAGGAGATCCGGAACACCAAAACCTCGAAAATCCTCAAGTTGCCTTGCATGCATTCGATTGAGGTCGCGATGGGCTACTAAACCATAGCCATAAACCGAAACCTAGGCCACTGTGACACCCCCCCCCCCCCGATATCAAGATCCGAAACTCCTGGGCCCAATTGCCAAAGGGCCGAAGATGCCTCAAGCCTATAAAATGTAGGGGCCTTAAAAGTTAGAATAAGCTTTTTTTGAGGGGGGGGGGGGGTTATAATTATAAGTATAGTAGAATGTACCCGAAGCCCCATTCTAATCATTCCGGCCCCTATGTTAATCATCATCTCGGGCTTGGGTTTTTTCGGGTTGGGATTGAAGCCTTTAAGCCTTTCAACCCTATAAGCCCTAAACCCTACACGGTTTAGGGTTTAGGGCTCCTACATTCATTTGAAAAAGGCCTGGTGTAGCTTAGGCACTGGTAGATAGTCGATCTTGGTGCCCAAATTCATCACGAAGGAGAGAGAAATGAACCGAGCCCCGATCGCCAGGCAGGGAACCTGGGATCTGCGAAGTGGGTCTGGGCGTTTATCCAAGGATGCTTAATTTAGGGTTTAGGTGTTAGGTTTTGGGGATTATAAGGTTGTGGATTTAGGGTTAGGATTTGGGGTTTGAGGGCTTAGGGGTGATTGAGTTCAGAGCTGCAGTGCTGCGTCTGCTGAGGGTTCCGGGTTTCTAGCTCTTGAGTGCGCCAGGCACTGGAGCGGGTCGCATTCATGAAACATTAGGAATTGTTCGCGACTTCAGTTTAAGGATTTGTCTGGGGTCTTGTTTTAGGGGCTTTATCGTTCATATTAGGGCCTAGCCTTGGAATGACGAAAGCCGACCTAAGCGCGCTGGAGGGCCTTTGACACTGCCAGCAACTAACAACTCGCGCCCGAGCCAGGAACCGCTCGCATGCTGCACACTTTACACACACATATATATATATATGTTTATATATAAATGTATATATAGATGTATATATATATATATATATATAATATCTTTATATAAATACTTTCCAACTGCTGCTCCTGGAACCCCTGCAAGGCGCAGCCGTAGACCCTAACACCCACAGACCCCGAAGACCTAAATCGAGAACCTCCAAACCTTCAAGCCCAGCTTAAGGTGGGGGGGGTTTAGTACCCAACCCTTAGCCGGAAGAGCCTACACCCTTCAACTAAAGGCCTAAACCCTACACCCTAAACCCTACACCCTAAACCCTAAACCCTAAACCCTACACCCTAGACCCTAAACCCTAAAACACAAGGGGCCAGCAGAATCAGCGGCCAACATCGCATATCTGTGGAGATGTCGAGGATGCACCTCCGAAGCTTCTCGTCGGTTGCTGAAAGGCTTCAAGCTGAGGGTCTAGAGGTTTGGGTTTAGGGTTTAGGGTTTAGGGTTTAGGGTTTAGGGTTTAGGGTTTAGGGTTTAGGGTTTAGGGTTTGGGTTTCGGGTTTAGTGATTCAGAGTTTAGAGTCTCGAGTATAGGAGTTTAGGGTTCTAGGGGTTTGCGGACGGCTTTGTTAAGGTGGCACTCCCGTCACGTGTCATCATCGATATGATCTCAAAGTCGATCTCCCACACGACGACAAGGACGAGAAGAAGTACCCTATCGCAAATAAGGTAAGCAGACCGGATAACAGGACCACGGAAGATAGGAACTATAGACGGTTCAAGGGTATCTTCGCGAACTACTCCAAGCCACTCGCGATCCTGGCACATTCTCAACATCGTTTTGGCGGACCAGCTGTGGCAACTGTAGGAATATTTACCATAGGAGCTGCAACGACGTACATTAGATCATGTAGCAGTTATGTGAACAAGGACTATACGGCCTGAACCCTAAGCCCTAAACCCAGAGACCCAAACCGTCAGGGTTTGGGGTTGGGGAGGCAGGGTTTGGGGATTGGGGTTTAGGGTTTGGGTTTTACGGTGAAGCCTCGGAGCCCCAAAAAATCTTCTGGTCTCACCGCTGGTTTAGGGAACCCTAAACTCTAAACCCTAAACCCCCTAAACCCTAAAACCTAAACCCCTAAACGGTACCCTAAACCCTAAA